CTATATATATATATATATATATATATATATATTGCCAATAAAGTATAGAGCAGTAATGTAAATTTAAAAATTACAAAAACAGCTTTTTAAAGTAAATCTTGCAGTAAGATTAATGTCTTTGAGTATGTATACATATTTTTAATTTTTTATTTATTTAAATTTGTGCGTTACGGGCATTGTTATTCCGAATTCGTCAAAATTTACTTGAAATTATCCTGCAACATGATGGGCAAGTTAAATGATAGCTTATATTTTAGAATAATGGTATATGTTAATAAATCGCCTTAAATGAAGATGAGCCTCCATTTGTTAAGCAACATTCCCTTACAGTAAAGGAAATTCGACTGTCCATTTAATTCGTCAAAATTTTTAGTCTAAGCCTAATGATCTGTGAAAGCGACAGGCTCGCTTCTAATTTTAGTATAGCGTACCATCTAGAGTTATAGAAAGTGAGAAACAAATTCTCAAACAATAAATAAGATAAATACTCTTTTACAATCAACAATTTATGTAAGGTAGAGTCTTTCGAAATAGTCTTTGTTTCAGTGATGAAAATTTTGATCTACCATATCCAGAAAAACACAATCAAATATATATCAGCATTTTATTTTAGCAATAAATAATTACAGGCTCTAATTTTATTTAAATAAAATAAAGTTAACTTATAAAATGTAAAATCCATTCGAAACTGAGATTTGAACGTGACCATGACTCTTATGTGTTTGGTTGTGTCAAATAAATGTATTCTCCAATTGGTGGTATCATTAAAATCATCGCTAAGGGTGATGGTCTTGTATTAGAGACAACTACCAAACTGACTACGCGTCTTTCACTACTTCTGCTTCTATTTTTTATCGACGGTAGTATTATCGGTTCCATGAGCTATAAGGATACAATTCAAAACTCAACTAGTCTGTCAGAGGTTAGTATTTTTTACCGAATAATTCATTATTAACCTTATTTTTTTCTCATTTTGTTCTTTAAACTATCAAGATAACCGGTGACTTTGATGTCGATCCAAAGTCACAGCTGTGTGGCGTTGCCGAGAGTACAATGGTGAAAGAGTCTCCCGATGAAACGACTACAAAGCAAAGCTTTTCTTTCACAAGTTCTTTCCAGGCAAATAATACAAAATCCAATTGCCGAGGAGATGTTGTGGAAGATAAAAATACCGATACCGGTAATAATTTTTGCAGACAAGGTTTGGGTGATCATTTGCAAGTTCAAGGCAGGATATCCTCGAATAACCTGTTTTCTAATGATCAACTCCCTAATTCCACAGTTTCGGATGTACTCGAAAACAATATCGAATCAATGAAATCCTTGTCTTTGAAGCCGGATAATGGACCGTCTGGATTCCCTTCATTGAATTCTAGCACTTCCAAAAATCGTGATTTGGCTTTTTCCGGAATGACTGGTGATGTCAATCCATTTTCATTCGAACGAAGTCAGTCAGCTCAAAAGTTCGACGCTTGCAATTTCCTCGGAGATGGTTTAAATAACAATTCAAGCGGAAAAAGTCATTCAACCCCTGAATCAAGTTCCGGAATTGATGGTCCTTTTAATGGTCGTAATCCCCTTCTTCAAGATTCTGAGACTTCTTCAATCACCAATGAAAATCACATTGGGGGTAATTCTACTTCCTATTGGGGTAACCCTGGAAATGCTCAAGTGGATGATTTGAATTCCCAATCAGGTCTGAATAATTTGTCGCCACTGTTAACAAACTTGCTTTTCCATCAAACTGGGAATTCTCCTGTCAGTACTAACAGTGGTTCACAACCCAATACATCTATCATAGCTGCTAAACGAGCTCTAATGGGTGGTCATCAAGGAGTTAGGCCCTCCTTATCTCGACCTCCAGGTTGGAGCCCTTCTACCACTTCTTTTGAATCCTGCTTTCCAACGCAATCTGATCAGTCATCATTTTCTGGAATTTCCTCTTCCAAGAATCCCAATTGGATTAATCAAATTTCCTCCCAAAATAGTAGCAACTATCCCTGGTCTTCTGCATCATCTCAGCAAAATTCATTCAAGGCAAGTTTCTCCGAAACTGCTTTGGGATTTCCAGGGAATAACATTGGAAATGGTGGCATGAGGTTTGGACCAAATCCTAATCTCTCTAACATTGGTTCGAGTAATGGTTTTCCGAAGAATGCAACTTCTTCTAACCCGACGTCAATGTATTCCATGTTCCCTAAACGTCAAGCACATCGCGCTATGACACACTGGCAAACACAACACCAAAGTCAACAACATATGCAACAAACTCCACCCTCAGCCTTGTTGAATAAACAACAACATAACAATTCAGATTTTTCCGGTTCTGGTAGTGGTCAGCAGGAGAGTATATTGAGCCAAAAACTCTCTCACGGCAACTTTGGATCAGGTCTGATGTCTGGTAATATGGACGGGTTGAATGCGGACAAGTACTCTAACTTCGCCTTCGACCAGCATCTGATTGAAATCATGAAATCTATGGACTCCTCGGGTAACTCCCAATCTGGTCTGCTTGATGATCTTGGCCTTGGGATATCTGCAATAGATAATTATCATGGTGGAAATTTACATTCTATGTCTAATTTGCCGCAATCGAGATCTGGTTTAATGCAAAATCAGGGTCTCCATGGCTTGAGTAATGCTCACTCAAGTCTCAATTCTATTGCGCCTAGGGAGGAGGGTTATTCTCGTAAAGTTTTTGTCGGTGGATTACCTCCAGATATTGATGAGGGTAAAAATGATATTTAATTTTTTGGATTGGACCTCTATTAAACATGCTTTCATCGTTTACTTGTTCTTTTAGAGGAAATCACCACAGCTTTTCGTCGTTTCGGTGCTTTGATTGTGGATTGGCCGCATAAAACAGAAAGCAAGGCTTACTTCCCTCCTAAAGGTTAGCTGATTACTCATCACCTACCTTTCTACTCCTCTTTTTTAATGTTTTAACTTATTACTTTTCATATACTTTAAAATAGGCTACTGTTTCCTGCTATTCCAAGAAGAGCAATCAGTACAAAATTTAATTAATGCTTGTATTGTTGATGAGGGGAAGTACTACTGGTGTGTTTCTTCGCCGACAATGAAAGATAAGCCCGTGCAAATTCGCCCATGGAATTTAGCGGATTCTGACTTTGTTATGGATGGTTCTCAGACTTTGGATCCTCGTAAAACCATCTTTGTCGGTGGTGTACCAAGACCTCTTCGTGCAAGTGAGTTTTATTGAAATCTATTTGGTTCAATGTAACTCCTGCCTTTATCCTGAAATCATTCGTTCTCTCTTCTGATTAGTCGAACTTGCCCTCATTATGGATCGACTCTATGGAGGTGTTTGTTATGCTGGAATTGATATCGACCCAGAACTTAAATACCCTAAAGGTGCCGGTCGTGTAGCTTTCTCTAATCAGCAAAGTTACATAGCCGCAATTAGTGCGCGATTTGTTCAATTACAGCACAACGACATTGACAAACGGGTATGATATTGTCTTTATCTATCAAGACACCTTACTTTAATGATCGGGTTGTTTTGACACCTGTTTTTGTCAGGTTGAGGTCAAACCATACGTGTTGGATAATCAAATGTGTGATGAATGTCAAGGCGCTCGCTGCGGTGGAAAGTTTGCACCACTATTCTGCGCTAATGTCACCTGTTTACAGTACTACTGTGAACAGTGCTGGATGCAAATCCACAGTCGCCAGGGTCGTGAGTTCCACAAACCCCTTGTCAAGGAGGGCGCTGAGAGACCGCGTCCAGCTCTTTATCGTTGGTAGAGGCTCTCTAATCATCAACCGTCAATCCCACAACCCCAGAATAGTATTCGCTTTTTGCGTATATAGTTTTGTAGTTTCTCCGTCATAATCCTCCCTGTGATCGGTCCCTTATTTCCGCCTCTCTCACCCTCTGCCCTCTCATTGGCTTGCGCATTTTTTTTTCAGTTCGATTACTTTCCGTATATTATCTACTTATTAGCACACACACACATGCCAGTTCATCAATTGATTAACTTTTTGGAAATATCTCTATTTTTTGTTACACTTCTTTTTGCATGTTTTCGGTTATTTGTGAGCTTTTTATCCTCCCCATTTCTTTATACTTGAATGTAACTCGCAATCTTTCTTCGAAATGTGAACTATTTTAATTTGTTCTCCCTCACACCTCTCATTGTAGTTCCCCTCAGGTTATCATCATTTTTCTTCATTTCTCTCTTAATGGTTCTCCTTCTCTCATTACTATGATAATGCCAAAAGTGGTACCCTTTTCTACTTTCTGTTGTGCAATTTGCGTTTCTTAATTATTTTCTATCTCCTTTCCTCTTTTGATAATTGTACGGTGTGGCATCTCTTTGTTGTAACGGAAAGTGAGCACCCCATTGGAAAGAAAACACATAATGAGCTCGAGAGAAATACCAACTTGTCTGTGTACCACGTCTGCACACAGTGCTCTCTCATTTACGACAATCACGATCAACTGCTCTACACACACACGACTTCCAAGGTGTTTGTCCTTCTCACTTCTGCGTATAGTTGCTCAGTTTTATACCAGCTGACCTTTTGTGTGTTCCACATTTTCCAATTTGGTTTTCTCCTTCTCCTTTTGTAATGCACGCACATATTGTCTTCCTCTCTCTCTTTTATCATCGAGTTCGTACGTAGTCTGCTAGAAAATCTCTGTCCCTCCATGCATGTTATTTGTTATCCGGATTGAAAAGTTGGATTACTTATTTATTTTTTTGTACTCCCTTGTCTGATTTGATGGCTGTCTCCGGTGTTAACGGTGTACAACAAAAGAAGAAGAAAGGACTCTGACCCAGCATCTCAGCTAGGTTCGCTCTATCTATCTCTCGCTCTCAATGCACTCTTACTGCCGCAATGCATGATCTTTTATTATTACGGGAACTATTTTCATAAACTTTTTAATGCGATCCAAATTTATACTACTACTGTTATCGGTCACCAACAACAATTCGTGCGTGGTTTTCACTGCTATATTTTCTGTCGTTGTCATTTGTGAATTTGTTCCTTTTTTTTCTCGCTCTCCCACATTTTTTGATCAGTACTTCAGTTATTTTTATCGTTCCCCTTTTGTGCACTCTGACCCCCCCCCCCCTATTTAAATACCTACCTCCCTAAGCTACTACTTTATAGCACCGCAGTCATTCTTTAGTTTATACGACCTCTGATCTGTTTGTTTAGCTTACTACCACTACTTTGATACATGCCCACTACCACCACCTTTCTCTCTCTCTCTCTGCATTTTGCCCCTCTCCGAAGGCAGGAAGAATTTTTGATCTTGCTGGGACTTTACATACAGCTCCCTTCCCCGTTAGCCAATTTCGTGCAATTAATTTCATTGTTTTTTTTTGTTCTCCATCTCGCCTCTGTGTTTTGATTTCGTCATCAGTCAACACCACCAACTTGTTTGGAGCATCAGCAATGTGATCTCCGTTTCTCACTGCTTCAGCATGTTGGTGAATGTGGGACATTCACCTCTCTTGATGCATCGGTATTTTTCTATTCTCTACATGTATTTCGTCCACTTTTTCCTAGCACAAATGTGATCTCGTCACTACTACTGTTCTGCCGCACATTTTCATCGCTCTTTTTCCTTTCTCTTTCTAAGCAGTCGACTAGGCTTTATTTTTTGTTCTCTCCTTCCATACTTTCAAACTGGTCATTGTACTTTCTTATGTAATTCTTCTCGTTTGTTATTCGCCCCTTTTTTCCTCCACCGCCCCCTCCCCTCCTCCTCCACCTCTCTTGGAAAGGCTGTTTTGCAGAAACAGCGCGACTATCCAAATCAACATCCGCTGTATCTGTGTTATATCTTCGCTTTTATTTGCATTAAAAATGTTAATTTAATTAAACTCATCCTTCTCCTATTTTTGCCCCTTTCGGTTGGCTTTGTTTTATTGACTTTCAGTAAGGCTCTACGTTGAGATGTCTATATTTCGATAAATTTCTTTTTTTGTTGATTAATCACAAATTTTAGTGTTCCGACTTATTTAACATGAAACAGTGACAAGGTATTCTTCACTGAAGGTATTGAGGGTAATTCTATTTTGAGTGTTGCATTGAATATCAATTGTTTCACTCAACTATACGATCCCAGGCTAGTTCAAGTGTATTTAGTAGCAAAATGAAGTGTTTATCTCGAACTTTCCTAGTTTAATAACGTCAAATAATGACACTTCATTAATTCTACCGACTGTTTATGTAAGGTCGATTTGTATCAATGGATCAATTAATTCCTCCATGAATCGGCCCAAAAGTTGAGTTGAGATCGATCTGTCTTTTCTCGGAGCTCGTTCTGTTGGCCTTCCCGTAAATATAGAAAACAGTGATTTAAACAATGTAATGTATAAAGGTAGATAGTTTTGGTTATGCGAATGCTCCAAAATGAACCACTGACTCTTATTTACGGAAATCACACTTTAAGAGCCCTTTGTGAAAAAAGGCACCAACTACTCTTAATTAGAAGGTATAAGTTCTCGTTGAGTTGCCCTTTTTTTCGGTTACCTTCCAGTTATGACTTGATCAAGTTAAAAATGCTGTCCTATTGCCATTAGCATAATTCATGTATGGTCGTTTTCTTGACTGTATTTGCATATATTACTGTTGTCATGGTTTGCTCTGTTTGTGGCTTAGCGGTCACAAACTCTCTGCTGCATAAATTCGAAAATTCTTGTTTGACCGAATTAAACAATTAACAAACCAATCAAGTAGATTAGTCCATGTCATTTTGCATCAGGTGTTCTAGGATTAATTAAGCTCTACTTAGAAAGCAAAAAAGGTTTAGTTCATTTTATTGCCAAGGCCTGGCGAAAAATTCAGGTCATTTGCAGGTAAAGCACAGGTAAAATGCACGTGTGTCCTTTTGACCGAGGGCAGTAGAAGTCTACGCGACGCAAATTTCGTAGTTCGTAGAGAAGGGGGAAGGGTTGATGATTCATCTCGCCTAAACCCGACCAACCAACCAAGAAAACCGGCAAAACAGGCACGTGCAAGGGATTGTGCGTATGCGAGGTTAAAGCCAACCAATCCGCGTGCAACCTTCACCAACGCACGCGTGCAGTTTGCGCGGTAGTATGTGTGCAATGGCTATGGCAACGAACACGTACACTGGCGTAACCTTAACGTGCTTCCTGGACGGAATTCATCACGAACGCACAAATACTCTTAGCGGGCAAATAAGGTGGTAGTAGAAGCGTACACATAGAATAACTACTATTTCTACGCAAAAAAAGCCACCGTCTACTAGCATACACCAACCGCTGCGCGTTTGGCACTTTGAAACCTGCTTCGCCTAGTTAATGGCATTTTCGAGATAAGACAACCATTGAAAATGCTTGGATGAAAACGAAGGATACATAACACTGTTCTGTTTACCATCTTATTTTCATTGTTTACGCAATAGGCTGGACTCTTTAGTGTTCAAAAGGTGTGACATTCATATCAAGTGTTAAGTGGTTTAGGTAAGTGAGCTAAATAAACTGATCATAGAGATGTAAGGGAGTAGAATCTATAATTCTGATTATTATTATATGCTATATTAATAAATTAATTACGAGATTTTGTGGATATACTTTAAAATGTCGAAGACTAGAATCCACAGTACAAGATTGATATACAACCATTATAATTTTTCACTCTATATAATATTTTGTGGCAGGCTCAGACCGAACTTATGTACCTATAAATACCCGAAACCATGCAGAAACGGTTAACGAAATGGCTAGAACCCTAAGGTCAAAAATTAACCAACTGATGTTGAAACTAGAATGTTGCATTTACAGGAAGGAAATTTTCCGATTGCGTTCATGAAGAGAAACCATTTCCCTGGAACTGAAGTTGTGATCAGTCTATTTTTGCTTGTATGATCATCCTAGACTTGACGTTTGAAGGCTTAAAATTCAAAACTTTATTAATTTACTAAATCCTTTGATCGGATTCCTATACTTTTTGGGTTTTAGAAACCATGTCATTCTATAAATAAATTCTGATCGAAATTGTAATATCTATTTCAGATGATCTTATCTTTGTTACAATCGATCGGTTTGTGGCATAAAACATTTGTTTCCCATAATTTCCACTCAAAACTAGAGAAAAGAAATTGACACAAGTTTATGAACTCAAAGTAAGGGAAGAATGAATCTCTTTTAAAGGCTAAGCGCTTAAATTGAAAGGGTAAAAATTACTAGAACGATGCACCTTAAAATCCATTTCCTTCCTTCATCAAGTTCAATTAATTGAATACAGACAGTTTCGGTGGAACGAGAGTTTCTCAATTTCTACAAACAAACCCTTCTGTCTGCAAGCTAATTTGAATTCAAGTTTATAGAACCATAGGGTAGCATTTACAGTAAAATGATTTTTTCAGGTTACCCGCATAATACAAAGTTTGGAAACTAGTTGTCCGACTGTAGGTATGATAGTTAATCACTACGTGGCCAGGTTGATAAGGGGCATAATTTAAGGCCAGAGGTTCCTTAATAGGAGCCCAGGCTGTTGAACAAACTACAAGTGAATACTTGTACACCGTTTGATGCACTCGTACACGACATCAGAGGTCACATACTTAAAGACCATTGGTGAGCGTCAAGTGAGCAGGATGGCTAATGACGTTTATACAATCTTATTAATGACAAAAGTTTTATCTCTACCTAAAGAGCTTTACTGAGTGGGTTTTGAATTTTACTGTTAAGTGCATGGTTGATTTGGGTTTTTGCTTCCAATTAAAATCTCCTGTTACACTCATACTCATTATTAATCAA